AGGCGGGCTAGCAGCTTGATCTCCCGCAGCATGCTCTTGCCGTGCGACGGGGCCTGGCGGACGCTCGTCGCACTCTATTTCCACGGAGGGGCAAAGCAGCGGCACCAGGAGGCCGTCGGCGACCGCCCTGCTGGAGGCGCGTGGCGGACGCTCGTCGTTGGCGGGGGGAGGGGAGAAGGGACGAGAAGAGGCTTCAGGCGAGAAACGGACGAAGCGGGAGCACAACCCCCAAGACGCCGTCCTTCCCCGCCTTTTGGGCTGGAGGCCCCTCCGCCGCCGCGGGCGGGGTTCCTTGGTCCGGGCGGGATCTGGGACGGGAAAGGGGGGGGGGCGGAAGGGCAGAGGAAGACGGGGAGGAGGTGACGGAGAAGGGACAACCAGAGCAACATGGCGAGGAGGAGGAGGAGGGCGACAAAGATGGGGAGAAGGTGAGCGAGGAGGTGAGCGAGGAAGAGGGAGGCGGCGGAAAGGGCAGAGGAAAATGGAGGAGACCCGCGAGCACGGACGAGGCTTGAGGGACATGCCAACAGTGGAACAGAAGGCCATCGCAGTAGAGGAGGCAGGCCCGCCCGGCCCAGGCCCAGCCGCCCTCCGCCCGCGCACCGCGCACTCATCCTGGAAGCGAGCGCCCGCCCGCCTGCTCTCGGCCGCCTCGAAGGCTGCCGCTGCGGAGCATCGGAGCATCGGAAGGGGGAGGGGGGCCACGCTGGGAAGAGGGGGGGGAGAGGAAGAGGCGGGGGGGGGAGGAGGAGGAGGAGGAGGAGGAGGAGGAGGAGGAGGAGGAGGAGGAAGAAGAAGAGGAGGAGGAGGAGGAGGAGCTGGAAGAGGCGGAAGAGGAAGAGGAGAAGAAGTTCCGCCGCGTCGTCCCGCTTCCCTGCCCAGGGGGTCACCCCCTCCTGCTCCACGAGAGTTCCTCGCGGCGATCGCCGCGCGGAAACCTGCGGATCCCAGCCGCGTGACGAGACGTGCCCTGACGCCAGCATCCCGCTCGGGCGGCAACTCCGTCACAGGCCTGCCAGAAAAACAGCCTCGGAGTCTGCGCCCGCCCACAGTGCGTGAGCATCTGGAGAGTCAGACTACAGCTGGGTATCCCAAGGCAACTGCAGTTCTGGAGGCGCGCCCACGAGCGCGAGCGCGCGCCCTCTGACCCTGGAGCTCCTCCCATACGAAAGCCAGGCCAGGGCAGGTTCCAGAGTGCGCCCGGGCTCAGCCACGGAGATGGGGCATGGGAACGGCCACGCCTTCGCGGGCGACTCCTAAGCCAGGGACCTGCTTTTCCTCCACGCGACCCTCCCCAAACCCGAATGTCACAGAACATCCACACTCACCGTCTCTTCCGGGGGCCAGAACGATGGCGCAATCCTGTGCGCTCCCCAGCTAAGCAACGGGGCGAAGCACACTGAGCAAAGACAGGAACAGGCAACGAAAGCATTGAGGACCACTATCCGAAAAAACAGCTTGAGGCACGACCGAAAAGAGCACTAAAGAAGACCTTCTTCACGTGCTTCACGGCCACCTGGTTGCCAGTGCGCGTGTCCTGCAAGGAAACCGATAAATCCGGTACTTCTGTAACAACACCAAACGTGTAACGCTCTAGTCCTCTACCATTCCCGAAACGGTGCCTGCGCCAAGGGGTCGTTACGCACGTCTCCTAACAATTGAATGGCTGCCCCCAGTTTTCCCCCAGGTTTCGCGCAAGGCAAGGCCATCGCAGAGCGGACCAAAACGAAACTGAAGACGACACTGGTCGATTGACTCGCCAGCGTAGGGACCCGAGTCGATGAGAATATGCTACCCATGACTGCAATAGCAATCCTACTGCATTCACCCATGTTGCTAACTATGATGCAGATGATGACGCATACGACTAGAAGCTCGACTGCCACACTGCGAACAACACTCGTGATGCGAATGAAGTTGATACGAATGTTCCGCTCTACGAGTACTACTACTAATACTACTACTACTACTACTACTACTACTACTACTACTACTACTACTACTACTACTACTACTACTACTACTACGACTACTTCTACTACTACTACTACTACTACTACTACTTACTAATAACGAACTACTAACTACTACTACTACTACTACTACTACTACTACTACTTACGACCTATACTACTACTAACTACTACTACTAATACTACTGACGAGTCTACGACGACCCTACTACTTACTGCTGCTACTACTTATACTACGACTACTACGATACGATACGTACTACTACGTTAACTACTACTAATACATACTGATACCGACTACTACTACTACTACTTTACTACTACTTACTACTACTAACACTACTACTACTACGACTACTACTACTGCTACGACTACTTAGTTACGAACACTACTACTACTACTACTATTACTTAATACTACTACTACTACTACTAAGGACTACTACTAGTACTACTACGTACTGCTACTGTACTAATTAACTACTACGACGACTACTACTACTTACTAATACTACTCTTCTGCTTAT